TAGCACTCGTTTTTGCCGGCTGTGTTTTCAAAAATTCTCCTTGAAATACGGTGGTCTAACTTGTGTGAAAATTCGGCCACAACTCCAATTTTTTTGCACAAGAATAATAGCGATATGTTAATCAATTAATTCCATTTTTTGTAACTCGAAAAATATCCCATTCAAGAAAGCAATAAGTGAAAAAAAAACATTTTCTCCGTTTAGAGTTGTTCATATTTTGGTGCAATAATAATCGGAACACAATAGAAGTTGCATAGGCGTGATTTTTAGTTTGAGGTTAACTGTTCACAATGGCTTCCTGATTATGATTCCTATCCCTGTTTCTGGAAATAAGATATCAGGCTCTAATTCGAAGCAAGTGTTGCACCTCATATAAAACACTGGACCAACGTATATCAAAAGTGACTTTTTCATTGAAAAATAGTCAAATTAGAAAAATAGTCAAAAAAATAGTCAGACTTACAAAAGTTTTCCAAAATTCTTCATTGCTCCAAAAACTTCAAATTATACTAAACATAAAAAACTAAATTCTACTGTTTTGTGATTTTTTTTTTAGTTTGGAAAATTCCAGTCTAATGAGATAATCTGTTTGTAACCGCGAGAAATTACTGAGAATGCTAATTCGAATTGAAATGAGAGTTGTGCTTTTTTTAAAACGGCCATTTTTCTTTATTGGATTTTTACAGGAAAGTTGTTAAACATAAATCTGAAGCTCTAATTTTGTTTAGTTTATTCTGAAATTTTCAAACAAACGGAAAACTTCTTGATTATCTTTTTCAGATCTTTTTTAAATATTGATGTTCCTTTGACCAGTACTGTACATACTCGGTGTATGACGTTTTTTTGCGTCAGCGCAGCTCAACCGGTAGTGAATTCTAAAAAATAATACTCATTGTCAGGAGGGCAAGTCCGTTGATCGAATATCTTGGGATTTTTAATTTCGAATATCATTTTTTTTTCAGTTTCGATGTCAAGTGATTTCAATTCATTCTGATAATTCTTCTAATCTTTGGAATTTAGCATAATTTTTTACTCTCTCGAAATTACCCAGAAATCATCTAACTTTCCAAAGTCTCAAACTACAAAAATAACGCTAACGGTTCCACACATATTTTCCGTGTTATCTCAATGTTTCTCGATTGTTCCTGGCACGTAATTAAATGATGTTCAAGTTGGAGAACAAGAGGAGTGTGACCGATTCCAATAGCCTTGCTAACTTTAGAAAAAAAGAAACACGCGACTGTCTAGCAATCTGTGCAGATGGTTCTTGAATTACTGTTTGATAGTTTTGAAAGAGGGAGCCTATCTGAAAAGTTCTAGAACGTTCTAAAGCTTTATTCAAGAAAAAGTAAGGGATCTTCAAATTCATTAGGTTCATATGAATTTTTAATTTTTTACAGTTTTCAATTTGTCTTAAATCTTCAAGACATTATAAATTTACTGCTCCTCACCAGTTCCGATTCAAATTTCCCATCGAAATCAAAATCTCGTTCAATTACGTCACAAGATCCCATTTCTCTCTATTTCTATCTTCTCGTTTTCTCTTTCTGGTCATTATCATTCTCTCTTTAGGTCACGTAGCTTCTTCTTCTTCTTCTTCTTCTCCATTTCTTGATTCGCATTGTCTTTTTCTTCTTTTTCTCCCTCCCTTTCCGTTATTAAACCATATGATGACTCACTTTAAAAATGCAACTATTTTCTTTTGTTTTTTAATGTAGCACTGTAGTACAGAATAGTAGAGATGATAGTGATGACGTCAAATTACGGTGGGAGGAGAAAATTGAAAAAATTAGATTTATCTTGTATTTTTATGTTCATTGCTGTTTCAAGAAGCTCATATTTTTTAAACGTCACCTGGATGAAATTTTTTGTCTGAATTGTTTCAACTCTGCTGTCTGTGTGATTCAGAATACCCCGAACATTTTTTTAAAATTTTCAGCCCATTTTCATTGTTTTTTCACATACAGTACCGGAGCAAAAGGTACCTTATTTTGACTGTTTCATTTCGGTAGTAATTTTGCCACTCCCGGTACTTTTTTGTTAAAAACTGCAGACTTGATCAGAATGGAATTGTCAATTACAAAAATTATCATCTTTTTATGTTTAGTGAATTCTGGACTTTCTGTGAAATTGAAAAATTAAGAGATGCTTTTTACGTTCATTGGTGTTTCAAAAAGCTTGTATTTTTGAACGACACCTGATTTTTTTGATGTACTACTTATTTTTTTTTCTAAATTGTTTCAACTCTGCTGCCTTTAGAATTGGCTTTTGGACGCTTTTCTGGCTTCCTTTCTTCCAAATACAGTACTCGACAAGAAGGCATCATCTTTTGACTGTTTCAATTCACTGCTAATTTTGAGATTTTCGGCACTTTTGAATTACAAATAGACAGACATCTTTAGAATCGAATTTGCGGAAATATTGGACAGTTACAAAACTCGACATTTTTCATGTTTAGTATATTCGAAACGTTCCAGAGCAATATAAGTATTTTTTTTCAGAGCTTCAAATTTTACTATTTACCACTGGAAAAAAAAACAATTATAATGTTTTGCTCCGTACTGTGGATGATCCCTTTCTGGAAAATTACTGTTTCATAAACGTTAGAAAAATATTAACCCTGAATTTTCAATCGGTTTAAAGGAGCTATAGCATATCGTAAGCTTTCTAACTAATAAAAAAATAAATAAAGCCCCTCCAAATTGAATGTCACCCTTTAATAGAACGTTCTTCGAGCTGTACACATAGAATTGAACCATGGTATTGAAGGAGGATAACCAGCAGATTTTTCAAAATCTTTTTGAGAGATACAGTATGCATTTTGACGTGGCGGTGTACAATGATTAGTGGATCAAAAATATCAGCTTTCGTTAAAAACAATAACTTCTTGAAACGGCAATGAACACTTTGTAAGATGTTAACTTTCCAGATTTTGCAAAATGATTTTTCAGGAAATTTCAGTTTTGACCCAGTCCTGAAGGACAACTTTGACAAATCAAAAGTACATAACATTTTTTCGGTCAAACTTTGACCATTTCTCACTTCAATCACTTTCCTTTTTTCACTTTTAATGTACTTTTCTTTTAAAACGGTCACAATGATCTATTCTCCTCTAAAAAGTTCTTCCTCCACCCGTTTTCTTCCCAATTACCTTGCAACCTCTACCCATATTTCATTCTATACTACTTTTACTCTTTTTTGCCCCTTCTTTTGTATGTCCATTCACGTGACCCTCTCCCCTCAGTCCATCTACTACTTTCCTTTGAAAAATCGGTTTGCGCCTTCCTTATTGTCTGCGTCTCCTCGATCCCAACACTCTCTCACCTCTATTTATTCTTTGTCTTTTGGAAGGTTTCAATGTTTTTCGGGGTGGAAATATTGTCAAAATTGAAATTGCCTTCAATCGTATGTTTTTTCCTTCCGCTTGCTCACACACATGATTTCTAGATAGTTTCTCTGCGTCTCTCGATTCTCAATGCTCTCTCACTGTTTTGAAAATTAGGTGTCCCGTACTGTCACTTCGTGTCTCGACGCCTACTACCACGAAAAAAATGCCCGAGATAATCGCATCATTTTTCTCTCTCACTCGAAATTTCCATTCCGTGTTTTGCCACAAAGTGTCACTGGTAGATTGACCTACTGTTATCGAACGGTCAAACGGATTGCATCTCTTTATTGTTTCAAACTGAAATATAAGTTTAAAAGTTCGGTGCAGAAGGCTTAAACCGAAAATAAAACTATTTCATATTCTTGAGCCCTTTTTAGAGTGGTGAGTTTTTGGAATTGTTACTATTTTCATTTATTCAATTTATCTCGGTTCCTGTGAAAGGTAAGCAAACGAAACTCTTACCATGAAACGGGCTGTATTTTGTCAGTTACAAAATTTTGGAATTCTTTAACAGGGACCTAGAGAAATTGACTTAATTTTTATGTTCCGGAAGCAATAAGTTAACGGCTTTTTTCACTACCAAACTACTACTATTCAATTTCCGAATTTAAGCTAATTCAATGAAACTGTTACTTTTATACACAATTTTTTCAATTTTACTGTTTCGTTGTCCGCATAGGAGGGATAAATTAGAAAGTTTAATGATTACTCTGAGTAATTGCCTTCTCGTCTTGATATGACTACAGTATGTTTATTTTGGCACCAAATTTTCTCCTTTTTTGCTGTGATTCCTACAGAGGACTATTTCTCACGTCTTCTTTGTTCCCTTTCAGTAGAAACTACTTTTTTAGTTTGTAAAAGAGTTTTGAGGGATTGCTCTCCATGTTAACCGAGTTTTCCCATTCTTTGGTGTGCCGGTAGAAGTTTTCGGGAAGATAAAGATCTACATATTTATAATAAGATGATTATAAGTACCCAAAAAGCATCAATATTCAAACATATTTTTAAGCTACATTAATGTAAATTCTCTGTTTCAGCATTATGGATGCATGGTTACAAGTCCGTAAACCAATATTATCAACTTTGTGTTCCCATCGTTGTTAACAACGTATTATAAAAGGTTCCAGAATTTTACAACATGAAAAATTGTTTCTTTCGTTTCTAGATGTTATCTTTTCCAAAAACCTTTAAAACTTTTTCCACTACAGTTTTCAATATTTACTGTTCCAAATCTTTAATTTGATTTCTAGGATTTATATTTCCTGGCTTTTTCATCACATACAACTAGGAAATTTTTCTATCATTTTCTAACTTCAAATTGAACAGTCAGTTCTTCTTGAGTTAATTATGTCAATTTAGACATTCAATCAATACAAATATAATGAAATTTGAACTAATTGGAGTTATGAAAATTCAGTAAAATGGTACTAATTTTCTAACCAATTAAGCACTACTTCAAGTTTTGCTTATATGTTTTGATTTATCATTTTCTTCTTTTTTTTTGAGAATTTCATTTCACTGTTTCAATTAGGAATCATAATTCTACAATTTTTCTTGTTCATCATTACCTATTTTTCTCAAAAACTGCAACATCAGTACTCTTGTATATTTACAATTTGATAACAAACTTTGGTTGATAGCACCCAACCAAAAAACGTACCCATGTTTATTTTTGTCTGTTCAAAACTCCCATTTTTTATATTCTTTTGTGTTGCTTTTCTTCGTTTTTATTCCTTGTATATCAATAAAAATAGACGACGATCTATTTCTGTTTTACTTTTTTCTTTTAGTTTTTTGAAATTTTTTAACTTTTCAGATATATAAAAAGAGACGAACATGACCACAAATCTGTATGTTGTCAACGCGGCTGGGTGAGATGTTGTTTCGTTCAGATTTTGTTGAGAATTTAAGGATTTAGATCTAAATCAAGAATTAGTTAACATTCCTTTGCGAATAAGTCTTACATTTAAATGAAAGTTATCAAGACAAGTTGTTGGAATAGCTAAAAATTTTACTGTTCCACATTTTCTAGATAATTCCTAGATGATCAGAAAGAATAGTTCCTTGCACCACTCTGAAAGTTACTAATTCAAATTTTTCAAACGTAATTTTTCAGAAGACGAGCAATGGATGCTAGAACTCGTGAGCTTTTGGATAAAGATTCCAGAGAAATACAGACGATTTTAGTGATGGGCGGTATCACTTTCTTCATTACAATCGTCATGTTCTTGTCGAAAATGGATGTGAGTTTTTATTTGGAAACTGTATTTAGGAACTATAGAAATTTGCGAGCATGATACCGACACAACGGTCCAAAATCCAGTCAGGAAACGCGCACAGATAAATTTTAAGCCAGAAGTTAAATTTCAAATTGGTCGAGAGTCGCTCTCAGATAATTATTAAATCTTATAGTCAAAGGAAGGAGTTTAGTTTCATTTTAACAAAAATAGTTTAGTCTAATTTCTTCCGTTTCTTCGAAGTTTGATTTTCTATAAATTAGAATGAAACAACAATAAGCTGGTAAAATGAAAAACTTCGACGAAATTAGGTCAAATTTGTTACGAAATTTTGAAATACAGTAATCGAAAGCGCATGGGGTTTTTTTCAACTCGTATCGAAAAAATTGAAATTAGTGACTGAAACACATTTCATGAAACAGTAATATTCAAAGCACATTGGTTGGAAAGAACTAAAATAGTCGAGTTGGCGGAATTTGAAACTGATCTGAGACAGTATTCTTTCTTTCTGTTTGAAACGCTTAGTTTTCAGGATTTGAATCAAGTTCAGGAGTTTTGAGAATGGATGGGTTGCGTCTTGATTTTCAAGATTTAAAAAATCTACTGTTCCGACTGTAGCTCAAAATAATGTATTTTTTAAACCGTTTTTAAAGTTCAGAAATGTTGATTTGAGCATTGGATTTTTGATGAGAATTTAAAAAAAAGGATAATTGAATGTAATCCTATACTTGCACTTCCAGCTCATTTAATTCAATTTCTATAACAGGAATCAAAAGTCTGTCAACTGATAGAATGTTTGCCATTATTTCATTAAGATTTTGTAGCTTACAGATTTTGTTATCTCTTATCGAAAGTGAGATAAATGAGCTTGAAGTGTTAGTACAATGGTGTTATTCATCAAATCAAAAGCCTCGTATAAAGCACAGATGAAAAATTAAAAATTAGTAACTGAAAAGTACTTTATGAAACAGGAACGAAGGAAAAAAAAGTCGACGTTTCTCTAAAGTCGGGAAATGCTTATTGGAGACTTTCGATGCAGATAAAACAAGGAAATTCGAGTGTAATTTCCCTTTTTTCTCTCATAGAACGCACTTTCTATACTTACAGTTTGTTAAAGAGATATCTAAAAACTATCAACTGATAAAATGTTTGTGATAATTTTATATAAGTTGACAGATTTTGTTACCTCTTAAAAGATAATTGAACTGAAAGTGCAAGTAGAGGATATAGGCAAATTACACTCAATGTCCTTATTTTATCTTCATCGAAAATCTCCAATAAGCATACCCGAACATCTTCAAACAGAATCGAATCGTTCATGAAGCGAATCAATCAAAATTGGTCAGTGGAACAGAAAATTGTTTACGATTTATGTTGTTTCCAATTAGAGAGAGAATCATCACGTATCACATGTTTATACGATCCGTCCACTTTCAGTTTGTCTCAATTAATACATTATAATCCCTTTTTCTATCGATCTGTTTTTGTTTTCTTTTTCGTTTTTTGCGGTTTCAAAATGAACACTTTTGATGGTTTCATGTTTTTTAGGAGATTCTAATCGTGGTGATCCTTGTGGGTATCTCTCGAATTGAGTTTGTCCTTCGAAAATGCTAATCATAGAAATCGCTATTTCAAAATGTTCACAACAAGTGAATATAAATTTCGTCATGTATTTTAAGCTTTGTAAACTCAAAAACAGTGAAATTTTTTCAGATGTCCGCTGACAACGTAATGAATTATGCACCAATCATTTGGCTTGTAGGAGTGATGATTTTCGGCGCAATCATCAATTTTGTGAATTATTACAAAAGCAAAAAACGGCAAAAGGAGCTGGATAGATTGACATTGGTGAGCAATTTTTTACTGTTTTGAAAAGTTTGTAAAGATAGACATTCAAACTAGAAACCACTCCTCCGTGTATCGCAGCTAAAATGCATAAACTTCACCTTTTTAGTGGAGAATGACCTAATTCAGGTGCCTAAAAATATGCTTAAGGTTTGTTCGACTGTCCTGGAATTTCCTCTTAATTACGAACTTCACCCTGATTTGGTCATTTAAAACGGAAAACTGTTAAAGATGAATTATTTATTTTTGCTTCAAAGAATACCTTTCAGTTTCGAAATTTTATTGTTTTTCAGGAAAGCCTTCTGGTCAATATGTCCCTACCAGAATCGTTCCCCTGTCTTCTACCGGGACCCCATGACGAATGTTGTGGTGGAAGAGGGATCCCACAACGGCCACTACCAACTTATGATGAAGTTGTGGTGCTGGATGAGGTAATCTTTCTTGCAGTTTCAGAATCTCTAAATATTTTGAATCAAATTCTGTTTTTCAGTGGGCATGGGATAATTTGATTTTATATTATGCAATTTCAGACCCAACAAAAACAACCAGACCCGGATACCGTATCCCAGACGGCTCCACCCGACTACTCGACAGCTTTGTCGATGCTCCATAAGTCTCCCCCACGACCTACAGGAGCTAATAACGAATAGCTTTTTTTTTCATATTTTTACTGACTTTTTTTTTGAATTTCCCTCCATTCAATACGGTTTTCACCCCATTCGCGGGTACCCCTTTCTCTCTCTGCCCCAAAGTCAGACTGTTTTTTAACTGTCCTTTTCCTCACGCTTTCGTCATGGTTTTCAATTTTTTTTCGGTTTCATGTTTTTCGTTTTAGCTCATCGAAAATGAATTTTTATTAATTTTTTTAATGATACAACAATTGCAGTAGATTCTCAACCGAAACAAGTTTCTAAATTGGAAGGACAGAAATGAACTTATACTTTGACACAGACTCTACAGTAATCAGATTTTATGGAATCAGAGTTTCATTCCCTGTTTTCATTTCACCCGCCGCTGTTGCACGACAGGCGCCCAAAAATTGTGCTTAGGGTCTTAAGGAAGGCCCAGCTATGAAGGATTTTATGCGAAGTGTTATAACCTCCACAAGGTTATCCTTTTCCATGTACCGACATTTCACAGGTTCCGCGCGCTACTATGAAAAGCGAGAGAAAGGGCGGGGCTTAGGAAGTTGAAATTTTTTGTGATGAGAATTTTGGTAGAAAAAGATAAATAGCAAAAGCCAATAGAACATCTATCAGGGGTTTGCAAAAGTAATGCGCGTTTTTGATGCAACTTCCTTTTATTGTAAAACCAAAACAAGAGATCATCAATCAATAAGATATTCTCCATTATTGTTCACTACTTGCTGCCAACGTGTGCGCAATTCAGCGATGCCTTTCTCGAAGAACTCCTCTGGCTGTGCCTCGAAATAGTCCGCCACCCAAATTTGCACTTCTTCACCGCTTTCGAATTTTTTCTCGGCCAGATGATGTTGCATGGATCGGAATAGGTGATGGTCCGATGGTGCCAAATCGGGAATATATAGCGGATGAAGCAGCACTTCCCAGCCCAGCTCCTGAGTTTTCTGCTGAATGATTTTTGCAGTGTGTGGTCGAGCGTTGTCATGGAGCAAGAGTGTTGTCGAAGTGTCCACGCCTTGGCGTTTGAAAGCTTGGTCCACACGGTCCAGCTGATCTTTGTAAAGGTCCGCATTCACCGTTTGACCAGGTCTCAGAAGTTCAAAATGCACGAGACCTCGTGTGTTCCACCAGACACATATCATCACCTTCTTTCCGTGGATGTCCGGTTTTGGAGTCGGTTTCGGGGTCTCGCCAGGACTCAGTCACTGTTTTTTTCTCCCATTATTGTCCCACTGAATCCATTTCTTATCCGATGTCAAAATCGAATCAAAGAAACCACGATTTTTGGAGCGGCGCATCAGAATATTGGCAACTTCAACACGTCTTTCCTTGTTCGAATCGGAAAGCTCATGAGGGACCCATTTTCCACATCTGTTTGTCTTTCCGATTGCATGCCAATGTCTGGAAATTGTGGAAAAATCGCAGTCGAACTGCTCCGAGAGACTGAGAGTAGTTTGGCAAGGATCCACTTAAATTGCTGCTCTCAAGGCATCGTTGTCCACCTGCTCTGGACGACCAGGGCGCGATTCATCTTCCAATCTTTCATCTCCGCTCCTAAAGCGCTGAAACCAGCGGCGACACTGACTTTCGGATATAGCTTCTTCACCGAATACAGGAGAAAGTGAGCGGTGAGCTTCGGCAGCCGATTTTCCTTCCTTAAATTGGTGCCACAAAAATGCTCGAAGGCATACTTGTAACGGGTCGGGCCGAGCCGGGCTTTTTCCGGAATTTCGGAGGCCCGGCCCGGCCCGGCGGGCCCGTCATTTCACTAGTTTCGAAATTTTCAAAAAACACATAAGGGGGACCCTTATGTGATTTTTTTCGACCAAAAAAATTTTTTTCGAGTTTTTCTATCTTTTTTGATCAGACAGACAAACAATCCGAAATACGAAAAAAAATGGAAAAAAATCATATTGAGAGCTCAAAATTTGGCTCAAAAATACAGAATTTTTGACACCGGGCCTTCCGGGCCGGGCCCGGGCCTTGAAAATTTCCTCAAGCCCGGCCAGGCACGGAATTTTACAAGTATGATCGAAGGTGAAATTTTTGGTCGGACATCTTCTAGAATGTTTTTTTCACAGAAATCAAATGAAACAGCAATATAATATATCCAAACCCATCATAAATGTTCTATTGGCTTCTGAAATTTATTTTTTTCAACCAGAATTCTCATCTCAGAAAATTTCAACTTCATAAGCCCCGCCATTTCTCTCGCTTTCCCCTAATAGAAAGTTTGAAGCGGTAATTTCGCGAAAATCATTAATTCTGGAAAATGAAACAAGGAGATGAGGCAAATCATACTTACAACAGGTAATGCTTTTTTCAGAATTCTCTCGGGCCCGCCCAAGTTTCCAGTAGTACTTTTTAAACACAAAAATCTCCCTATCTTTCTTTGAAAAATGAATTTTCCAAAAAATTCTTAAAGCGGGTATCTCGAGCGGAACCCTGTGTAAATGTTTTGAAATAGTGAATTGACTGAAGGGAAAATGCCACTAACAGGATACAATTAAAGCCTAATAATCGTTTCCAGCAAGCTACAATTTTTCCAACTCTCTCATCCCGGAAAGTTACCTACATTCGATGTTGTCATAATCCTGAAACAGAAAAAAAAATATTTTTCACCCGCCGGGGCATGCAACGGGCGTCCAAAAATTATGCTTAGGGTCTTATAGAGTGCCCAGCGCGGTCTCAAATTTTCAATACCGTGACAAACCGAACCATCAGCGGCGTCACTTCATGTTTTTCATGTGCCGACATCTCACGGGTTCCGCGCCCTACTATGCAATATAGGGAAAGTGGGTGGGACTTGCAGCTCCCTCTTTTATATTCAAACTTTATTCATGAAAAAACTAATAAAAAAGGAAACAAGAAAAAACAAAAAGGCAGAAAATGAAATAAACACACAAGTTAGATCGAATATCGATTGGTACTAGTTGACCTTTTTCTCACTTCGATACTTTTCTTTTCCGCCTCGTTGAAGATACGATTTGTGGAAGAAATTGGCAAAAAGCACAAAATAGGAAAGGCTCAAGCCAAATGTGGAGTTGAGGGCGAACATTGGAGTGTCGCAGGTATACTGGAATATATAAAAATGTTAAATGAAACAAATGTAACAGAAAAAATTTCAGTTTCAGAAAACTGATATTTTTCACTTTACTTATCTCTAAGGCTAAATCCTTTCTTGGCTTATAAAAATAAAAATAAATTGTTCAAAAATACCTGATTAGTTGCCAGTGAGTAGTACATCAGAGTGCATCCATAGATGAAGCACACGAATTGAGTCAACTGGAGCACAGTGACAGCCATCGAGATCTTTGCTGGCAGTTTGATGTTCATCGATCGGATGAAATAGTATCTGAAAATTTTTGAAAATCAAGTGACGCTGGGAACAAACACTTTGATTTCTGGAGTATATAATCAGATTGTAAAACAGTGAGAAATATTTTCCACACTTTTCAAAAATCATTCTCGAACAAGCAGAATTTAAACTAGAATAGATTTTTTCAAAATTCTTACAAGGTTGGTGAAACCGGAAAACAAAACAGACAATTTTTAGCCGTATTCAAATTCAAAACTTTTTTCGAAAGGCCTACAAAAACCCACGGATACATGAATGCATGTACAAACAGGTTGACAATGGCACCGACACGAATTTGAGACGATGGAGTTGGATAGGTGACACAGAAGAAGAGGAATGTCGCCACGTGGTGATACCTGAAAATGTTGGAAATTCTGACAAAAAAAAATAATAATAATAATAGGTCTACCCAAACTTTGAAATTATTTATTTCGGTTCCTATGGGAGGTATCAAAAATCTGGCAACTGATGAATAATTTATCGTAAAGTTACCAACATTTTATCAGTTGAAAGTTCTTTATATCTTTTGAAGGAACCGAGATAGTTGACTTCAAATCGCACGTATAGTGTATATTAGAGCAAATACGGTAATGGGTTATTCGGGTGCAGCAAAAATGCAAGCTACAACATTTTCTGGAAACACCATCACGTCAAAATGCAGACAAAAAGTCTTCCGTCGCCCCTTCAAAGATTCTGCTTCCCCAAAACTAACCAATGCAAGAAGATGAGTGGTTTCTTGCGAAGCACCAAGAAAAATGTGTCCACAAACTCCAAAGCCTTTGACAGAACCGTCAGAAACAGCCAGTATTCCGCTTGACTTGGAAGAGTGGACAACGCCTCACAGCCACATCCTAAAATCAATTTTCAGTCTAAACTTTGCAAAAATTAGGGGAATTCCAACCATAAAGTCCGAATCGTCGAATCTGTTCAACCATGAACGGAAACATTGCCCATGATCCGTAGATTGAGAAAACGGAGAGGAAGAAGTTCCAGAAGCGAAGTGCATTTGTGAGCTTGAATGGTTCTCGATCCCTCATGCATCTTTTGATGGAGAAGATCACGATGACATAGGCAATGGTCATCTGTAAGCGTTATTTTACGAATTTTGCGAATAAAGATTTGATAAAAGTTTCTGACTATGAAATTTTGAAGGAAAAAATTCCTTCTAAATTTTCTGTGTTTTCACCCGCCGTTGCTGCGACGGGTGCCCAAAAATTGTGCTTAGGGTCTTGAGGAAGGCCCGGCAAGAGATAGACTAGCAAAGAAGGGCGCCCCAGGTGTAGGTGTTTTCCATATACCGACATATTCCGGGTTCCGCGCGCTGCTATGGAATGCGTGCAAAAGGGGCGGAGCTTGTTGGAAATGTTTTTGCGCTATGAAAAAGAAAGATATTTTGCTGTAAGATACCTGAACAAAGAGTCCGAAGTGCTCATGAATAAATTTCCGTCCTCGGATATGGGGAAAGATTTCGTCTCGATTCGCCAGAAGACTCCATAGTTCGTTTGCATCGAATTTCCATTTGAACACGTCAGCAATCATTGTTTTTGAAACACGGCAAGCGTCTGATTCACAAACAGCACTTCGATGGAAGATGTCCGTTGCGAAATAGTTCAGATACATCCTCCTCTCTCCTTATGGTTTTTCTAGAAACAGCTGATGACGTGGTGGCTCGTGGATGGCTGGGAGGCGGCGATGGTTGGATGGAATCGGGTTGCCAGCGTGTTGGAAAATATCTATGTGGAGAGGAAAGAAAAAAAGGTTCTCACGGGTTTATTAGTATTTTGGAATGCTAATTTTTACGGAGGGGGGGGGTGGATTCTGTGTCAAATGATGGAAATTAAATTGTTAGTGTTAGAAAACAACGAGTGTCTAAACAGAGCAGAAGGATACTGTAAGAATCTCAGCTTGACAGCTGCGTTTCTCACGGAACTTCCCGATTCTTGTAACCCTAATAATTATCGATTTTCAGGCTCCACTTCGCTACACTTCATTTCGCCTGGACTCGCACACGCCCCACCCAATGTGACACCTACAGTAACCCCTAAAGTTTCCGCGGGCAGAGTAATCGCACCCCACCGCACCGGAGGATGACGCCGCGAGTTGCACCAGATTTGACCAGGTCGAACACAAAGTGGCGGGAACCTGGAGAGTATGAAAGGAGAGCGTTCCCTCATTCGAGAGGAGACCCGACTCTAATTTTGCTTGCGGGACCTTGTCCCTTTTCCCTCCCTTTTCGTTTTGTCCCCTTTATTCTTGTAACCTTTATTGTAAAACGTTTGTAAGACTAATAAACTAGTAGTTGAATAGAACCCGTGTTAGTTGTGACTTTCAGGTAGCATAAACTGATCAGGTAGCCTTGCTCCTTTTCTGGTAGCAGCGAGTTACGTTTTAATTGAGAATTCCCCTCCTATAACGGTTAAAAGTCCACATATCTCTTTTCGTGCGTTCTAGTCAATTTTAGTCTCGTTTTACTTTACTCATTTTCTCTCTTTAGTCTCACTAAGTCGACGTAGTGTTTCTTTAGTAGTTTTGTGTCGTAGAATACAGGGTTTTGAGTTTATTAGGTGAGCAGTAGTGTACCCATAAGCAAATCGGTCGGTAGGGAGTGTTTAGAGGGCTTGTAAGCTCTCGTATCTCCTCCCTTTCCCCTTTCTTTGTTTTCGTTTATTTTTTCCTTCTTTGAGCTTACAATGGTGTAGCGTCATTGGAGGTGGCCGTAAAAAGCCGTCTCGGCGCAGTGCTCGCAAGCTCTTTTCTTCTTTCTTAACCTTTATAAAACATACTTGCTATCATGCACTCTTCGGTGCATGATGCGATTGGAGGTGCTCACTCTACATGTTTGGACGATCGTTCGGAATGTGCCGATGCAGAAGGACCGCCGAGAAGGGACGTGTCAAAGGAAATGCCCATGATCAACAACAACAGTGATGAGGAAGTCGTGAAGAATGTCAAAAGCAAACCGGGAAAGGAATCTTCCGGAAGGACGCGAGTCTGATGAGGAAGGAGCTGCATCTGAGGTCGTTACAGATGTGGGACGCACTGAGCCGATGCGACAGCGTGAAAGCAAAGGTGTGCAACAAAGGAAGCCCATGATGATCACATGGACGGGCGTAGTTTTCAGGCATTTTCGAAAAAAAACAAGATCACTGTTTCAGGACATTATTATCAAAATACCTCTTTGCAATTAGAGATTTTTTGGAAGTTCACAATATTGCCGAATGTTTCAGTTACATAAATTCTTTGACTGTCCATCCCGTTAATATCGAAAATTTCCAAAATTTATTCACAACCAGATCAGAATTCAATTCCATAAATCCCGAGAAATTTTCGGATTCAAGTTCAGGTCACAGTGTGAAACGAAAATAAAAATTCAGTATTGCACATTTGGTCGACCTGAAAAAATCTGAACTAGAAAAAAAATTGGTCAAAATGTGACATACACATTATCAGTTGGACGAATTCTGTTATCTCTTATGGGAATCAAGCTAACTGAGCTCAAAGTGTTTCCAATACTGATAGTGAGAGGTTTTCAAATAAACCACAGGATACCGTCGAACAATTCCTGATAATCCCAAGAATCTTTAAAGCATTCTCGAAACGGACAATGTCGAAAACTTTCAACTTGCTCTGTTTCATGTTTATTGTAACTTCTAATACAATGTTTTTAATACATTTGGTGTCCATTCAAACCATTACTTACTAAACTGATAAAAAGGGTGATGTGGAAGAGGATCTGTGAGGTGAAGTGGAAGAGAAACGCCGGTGGCCGTGGCTAAAAATCCCACAACGACAACTACAGTAACCTAAAAATTCTTCGAGTGTTTTCAGTCAATTTTTTCACTATCGAAACTTCAAATTTTCAGAATTTTTAAATGGAAAACATTTTTAAACAGAAAACTCGACGGAAAACAACAACGAGAAAATGAATCCGGGAAATGAAAACATTTTTAGGTTACTGTAGTGGTCGTTGGGTGCCCTTCGGCCACGGTCTGTTTCTTCCATAGCTCCGTTTTTTTCGCACCAGCATAATGCAGTAATGTAATTTTGCAGTAATAATTATTTTTTAACCTTCTGACTCAACCCTTGTTCAGGTTTTCAGAACTGTTATTTTTTAAATTTCACAAGAAAAATGGAACAATTTCTGATAATCCCAAGAATCTTCAAAACATTCTCGAAACAGAGAATTTTGACGTTTTTCAATTTTCACTGTTTCACTGTCATTTTGAAGTTCTAATCTAAAACACTGTTTGTTAATCCGAGTACTCCGTACTTGTAAAATTCCGGGCCTGAGGAAAATTTCAAAGCCCGGGCCCGGCCCGGATGGCCCGGTAGCAAAAATTTTGTCATTTTGAACCGAATTTTGAGCTCTCAATACAATTTTCTATATTTTTTGTGCTTTTTGGATTGTTTGTCTGTTTGATCAAAAATATCAAAAAAAAAACCCGAAAAATTTTTTTGATCGAAAAAAAATCACATAAGGGTCCCCCCTTATGTGTTTTTTCAAATTTTCAAAACTTGTGGAATGACAGGACCACCCGGGCTACAAGCTCCGACTTCACAAATCTAGAAAAATTCAATGGTAATTATGCTTTACCGTAATCCTACTTTCTTGCCAGCCCAAAATCAAACAACAAAACTCGTCGACTACGATTTTCCGACGCGGTGTTGAGGCCAATCGCGAAATTGCTCGGTTTCACATCTCGATGCACGAATCCGCGGTCATGCATCGTTTTCAATCTGGAAGGGATTTTAAAAATTTCTGTTTCAAGCAGTTTGGATCCACTCAATTTTCAGTTTCAAGAAGTTAT